AGAAGGTGGGGAGGGGAAGGAGAGGGAGGAAGGTGGGAAGGAGGGAGGTGCGGATGGGGGCTGCAGTCGGAAGGCCCCCAAGCTGACTCTGCAGGGCACGGGGTGAGAGGGGGGGAGAGGGAGGTGGAGGGGAGAAGGTGGGGAAGGGAGGAAGGTGGGTAAGGGGAAGGTGGAGAGGATGGAGGGGGAGGGAAGGGAGGAAGGAGGGAGGGGCGGAAGAGGAGGCCCCAAGCTGACTCTGCAGGGCATCGGGGGGAGAGGGGGGAAGGGGAGAAGGTGGGGAGAGGGAAGGGAGGGAGGAAGGGGAAGGGAGGAAAAGGAGAGGGGGGAAGGGGGGAGGAGGGAGGGGCGGAAAGGGGCTGCAGTCGAAGGCCCCCAAACTCACTCTGCAGCCATAACGTAGACAAACAGACTTTCAGAAACAGACCAGATATATCCCCCACACCTTAACCGCACCTGCCCCTCTCCCCCAGGTGAGTCTGGACCCCACCTGCGCCGTCTTCATCACCATGAACCCCGGATACGCTGGCCGTTCGGAGCTCCCCGATAACCTCAAGGTGGGTTGGTTGGGTCACGTGACTTTGGCTTAAATGACCTGTTTTGGGGGACTATTTTCTGTTGACTTTGACTTAGGGTTGACTTTGATTTATGGTTGACTTATTTTCTGTTGACCTTGATTTATGGTTATTGTATTTTCTGTTGACTTTTGACTTATGGTGACTTATTTTCTGTTGACTTTGACTTATGGTTGACTTATTTCTGTTGATTTTGACTTAAAGTTAACTTATCTTCCGTTGACTTTGACTTATGGTTGACTTATTTTCTGTTGACTTTGACTTATGGTTGACTTATTTTCTGTTGACTTTGATTTATGGTCGACTTATTTTCTGTTGACTTTGATTTATGGTTGACTTATTTTCTGTTGACTTTGATTTATGGTTGACTTATTTTCTGTTTGACTTTGACTTATGGTTGACTTATTTTCTGTTGACTTTGACTTATGGTTGACTTATTTTCTGTTGATTTTGACTTAAAGTTAACTTATCTTCCGTTGACTTTGACTTATGGTTGACTTATTTTCTGTTGACTTTGATTTATGGTCGACTTATTTTCTGTTGACTTTGACATATAGTTGACTTATTTTCTGTTTCTGTTGTTTCTTTATATTCTCTTTCTGTCGTTGACTTGTATTTTCTGTCTATATTCTATCTACTGTTGCTTTATAATCTTTACTTATCATTGTCTTATATAATCTCTATTGTCTTTTTATTGCTGTGTGTAATTGAAGGATTAATGTTTCTTTCCTCATTTTTTCGTCCTCTTCTCCCCCTTATCCTTCCTTGTTCTTCTTCACCTTTGTTCTTCGTCCTGTTTTCTTCTTACCTCTTCTTCTCCTCCTTTGCATTCTCCTCCTCCTCCTCTTCCTCCTATTCTCTTGCTCCTCCTTCTCTTCCTTCTTCTTCTTTCCCCGTCCTATCCTACCCATAACTGAATCTTCTCCACTCTCTTCTCCATTCCCTCCCCTCCCTATCCTCCACACCACCCCTATCCCTCACCTCCCCTTTCCCTATCACCTCTCCCCTTCCCCCCTCCACCCCTTTCCCCCCCCATCCCCCCTTCCCAGCACCCCTTCCCCCCATCCCTCCAACCTCCCCCCTCTCCCTTACCCCTCCCCTCACCTCCTCCCATCACCTCCCCTCCCCCTTCCCCTCCTTCCACACCCCTTCCCCCCCATCCCTCCAACCTCCCCTTCCCCCCATCCCTCCACCCCCCCCCTCATAGCCTTTCCCCATCCCTATCCCCCACCCCCTTCCCCATCCCCTCCAATCCTCCCTCTCCCCATACCCCTCCAACCCCCCTTTCCCCCTCATCACCCTCCTTCCCCCCCCCACTCCTCACCTCACCCTCACCCTCCAGGCCCTGTTCCGTTCCGTGGCCATGATGGTGCCCGACTACGGCCTCATCGCCGAGATCTCCCTCTACTCCTTCGGCTTCGTGGCGGCGCGGAGCATGTCCAGGAAGATCGTGGCCACCTACAGGCTGTGCTCCGAGCAGCTCTCCGCGCAGCCGCACTATGATTATGGTGAGAGGGAAAAAAGGGTTATGGTGAGAGGGGAAAGGGTTATGGTGAGAGGGGAAAAGGGTTATGGTGGAGGGGAAAAAGGGTTATGGTGAGAGGGGAAAATGATGATGTGAGAGGGAAAAAAAAGGTGGGGAGTGATGGTTGGGAGGGGAAGGGGGTGAGTGGGGGAAGGGGGGAAAGGTAAGGGAGGGGGGGGGTATAAAGGAAGGGAGGGAAAAATGGAGTAGAGGACAGAGAGAGAGAGAGAGAGAAAGAAAGAGAGAAAGATAAAACAGTACGGAGAGAATGGGATGGAGAAGAACAAGAACAGGGAAGTGGAAGGGAAGAAAAATAGATAAAAAGGGAAGATAAAGAGAGACGAAGATGGAAAATCGCAATCGGGAATCGGGAAGGGCAGAGAAAAAGAAAATAAAAAAGAATAATGCAAGGAAAGGAGAAATGAAGGGGGGAAGGAATTGAAACAGACGGAGAAGAGAATAGACGGAGGAGTCTATCCATCTCGAAAAGTCACAGTGTCTTATTCATTTCTAAATGTGACTGTATTATTCCATCTTTTTATGTTAAAGTGTTTTGCCATTTTCTTCATAACAGATACACAGACATAGCGAGGGGTGTAGAAGGGAAAAGAACTGTTAAATCCTTAAATCCCTCTCATTTGCATGTTCTCATAGAATCTTCCATCCTAAAAAAAGTCACAATAAATTACGTTTGATAATCTCTCGCCTTAAAAGTCTCAATCATTTGCATATTGTCAAAGAATCTACCTTTTTTAAATCTTTATTAAATCACATTTGATTATGATTTGCCTATTCATATAGAATCTACCAATTCTTTAAAATTTTAATGAAACACATTTAATCATGGCTCACGTAAGATCTCATTTGCATATTGTCATAGAATCTCATTAAATACTGAATCATCTTTCACTTTAAATTTCTTACCAATTCCATATCCTCATGAATAAATAAATAAATAACTTTTGATTATCTCTCCCCTTAAATTTCAGTCATTTGCATATTCCCTTGGAGTCTACCATTTCCTAAAAGTCGGAAATGTATCACGTATAATTTCCTCTCACCTTAAATTTAAGGTATTTGCACATTCTTACAGAGAATCTACCATTCTTTTAAAAGCCGTAAATAAATCCCATTTAATTATCTCTCACCTTAAATTTCAGTCACTTGCACATTCTCACAGAGTCAACCATTGCTTAAAAGACGTAAATAAATCACATACAACTTCCTCTCACCTTAAATTTAAGGGATTTGCATATTCTCATAGAGTCTACCATTACTTAAAAGCCGTAAATAAATCACATTTAATTATGTCTTACCTTAAATTTGAATCATTTGCACATTCTCACAAAGTCAACCATTGCTTAAAAGACGTAAATAAATCACAATACAACTTCCTCTCGCGCAGGTATGAGGACAGTGAAAGCCGTGCTATTGCGCCGGAGAACTTGAAGCTCAAGTACCCAGACATGCCGGAAGCTGTGGTTGTCCTCAGGTACGGTTTCAGTGGATGAAAGTTCTGTGGAATATCGATTAAAGTTTTGGCTTTTTTCGTATGCGGTTTTATTTTTATCAAAGTTTGGATTGAGTTTTATTTTTATTTCTTTTTACGTCGTTAGGGATGTGTTCCTTCTTGTTATCTTTTTATTTTTTAATTTTTTGTTTATTTTTGTTAAAGTTTGGATTGACTTTTATTTTTTATTCTTTTCACGCTCTCAGGGACGAGTTCCTTTTAAAGTTAAAGTTGCTTTTCTTTCTTTCTTTCCTTTCGTTTAAGTTTAGGTTTATATGCGGTCTCGGGGACAGACGTTTTTATATATAACATCAATGATAATACTGGAAACAATTACTGTATTACGATGCTTGAAAAAAATAATGAATGTCTGTAGATCATTATACGAAAACCAAGATAATCTATAGTAATAACGTTGTAAATAAAGGATATGACGGTGTTCAAAGCAACAGAAACCTAACAATGCGTAAAAAATAAATAAAAAATAATAATTATGTTTCTCAGGTCCGTTCGCGATGTCAACTTGCCGAAATTCTTGGCTCATGACTTGCCGTTGTTTGAGGTAAGTGTGTGTTGTTGTTTCTTTGTTGTGGTTGTTGATTCGTTTGGTTGTTGTTAAAATGAAGTTTTATGGGAATGAAATTTGGTATAGAGCAAAAATGAGCCTAATGATTTTTTTTACCTCTCTCTCTCTCTCTTCTCTCTCTCTCTCTCTCTTCTCTCTCTCTCTCTCTCTCTCTCTCTCTCTCTCTCTCTCTCTCTCTCTCTCTCTCTCTCTCCTCTCTCTCTCTCTCTCTCTTCTCTCTTTATTATGTCTTTTTCTTTTCTTTACTTTTTCTTCCCTTTCCTTCTGAACGTATTCGATGCTGCTTCGCCTTTGATCTCTTTCTTTTCTCCTCCTATTTCGTATCCTCTTCCTTTTCCACTTGCTCCTTCCCTGCCTCCTTTTTCCTATCCTTCCCTCCCTTTACCACTTCCCCGTCTCCCCCTTTCCTCCTATTTCCTTTTCCCCCTTTCTCCTCTCTATTTTCCCTCTTCTCTCTCTCCTCCCTTTCCCCTGTTCACCCTTATCCCATCGTATCCCCTTCCCATCTTCCCCTCTCCTTCTCGCCCCTCTAACCCCCTACCCAACCTTCCCCTCCTTCCCCCTCTCTCTCCCCTTCTGCCACTTCCCCTCCTCTCTCTCCCCCCTCCCCCTCCTTCCCCTCTCCCCTCCCTTCTTTCCAACCCATCCCCTCTCCACTCCCTCCCCTCTCCCCTCCCCTCCTTTCCCCTCTCCCTCCTCCTTCCAACCCCATCCCCTCCTCCCTCTTCCCCCCTCCCCCATCCCCTCCCACAGGGTATCATCGCCGACCTGTTCCCCGGGGTCGTCCTGCCTCAGCCCGACTACACCTGCCTCCACCGCGCCATCAGGGAGGTGGGTGAATATTGTGGGAGATGAGGAAGTGAATTGTGTGGTGGAGAGATGAGCATGGGGAGTCAGTCGTTGGGATGAGGTTGGTGTGTTTGTGGATGTGTTTTGGGTGTGTGTGTGTGTGTGGGTGTGTTTATGTGTGGACGTATGTGTGTGTGTGTAGGTATGTGCGGTTGTGTGTTTATGTGTGTGTGCGGATGTGTGTGTTTATGCGTGTGTGCCGATGTGTGTGTTTGTGTATGTGCGGATGTGTGTTCATGTGTGTGTTTATTTGTGTACGTACGTGTGTGTGCGGATGTTGGTGTTTATTTGTGTTTATGTGTGTGTGCAGATGTGTGTGATTCATTGGGATGAGGTTATGTGTGTTTGCGGATGTGCGTGTATGTGTGAATGTGTGTGTGTTTATGTGTGTGTGAATGTGTGTGCTTTTATGTGTGTATTCGGATGTGTTTGTGTACGGATGAGTGTGTGTTCTTATGTATATACGCATATGTTAGTGTTTATATGTGTGTACGGATTTGTATGTATTTATATGTGTGTACGGATATGTATGTGTATATGTATATGTGTAGTATATCTATAGGGATTACTATAATGATAATTTATTATATCTATGGTAATAATACCAGATTCATAGCAGCAAAGATGGTCTTATTAATGATGATGATAATGATTATAATAATGATGATGATGATTATAGCGATAATGCGATGTTATTGATAATGATCTAGTGCTTATGATTATCATTTTGTTGATGCCAATTATAATGATGATAATGATCGCATTATCATGGCAATTATGTTACAATAATGTTATGTTATATTCATAAGGCTGATAATAAAGATACAAGTCAAGTCAGTTATCGTCAGAACGATAACGACGATACCAATAATAACCAAAAGAAGAATAAGAGAAATAACAACGATAAACCACAATTCATTAAACCCACAAAAAACTACCCGTCTTTTTTTTTCTTTTTTTTAAGTCCATTGTAACAAATGGAATTAAAACTAAATCTTAAAAAAAAAAAATCCTCCTTAAACCCCATGCTTTCTCCCCCTCCCCCAGGTGTGCTCCGGCGCCGGCCTCCGCGCTAACGACTACTTCCTCGACAAAGTGCAACAGGTGTATGAGACGATGAGGGTCAGGCACGGATTTATGCTAATCGGCAACCCCATCGGCGGCAAGACGGTGGCGCTGAGGACTCTCTCGCAGGCACTCGGGATCATGAATGAGAGGGTGAGGAAGAGGGAGAGAAGGAGGAGGGGAGGAGGGAAGGAGGAAGGAGGAGGAGGAAGAAGGGTGGGGGAGAGGAGGATATGGAAGGGGAGGGGGAGGGGAGGGAAGGGAGAAGAGGGGGACGGAGGAGGAGGAGGATATGGAAGGGGTGGGGCAGGAGGGATATGGAAGGGGAAAGGGAAGGGGAGGGAAGGAGAAGAGGGGAGGATGGAGGAGGAAGAAAGGGGGAGGAGGAGGGAAAGGGAGAGAGGAGGAGAGGAAGGAGGAGCATGAGGAATGAGGAAGAGGCGAGAGGGGAAGGGAGGAGGAAGAGGAGGCGGAGAAGGAGGTAAAGGAGAGGGTGACAGAATGAGTGGGGAGAAGGAGGAGAAGAAGAGAAGGAAGAAGAGAGGGGAAGGGGAGAAATGAGACATAAGGGAATGAAGAGGAGGGAAAGACCAAGAGAGGAGATAGAAGAGATCATGATTGAATGAGAGAAGAACAAGCGAGGGAGGAAGGAGAAGGGAGGAGTGGGAAGTGGAGTGAGAGGACGAAGGAAGGGAAGAGGAAGGGGAGTGAGAGTAGGAGAGAGGAAGGAAGACGAAAGGGGAGGATAATAGGGGGAAATAGAGAATGGGGAGACGAGAAGAAGAGGGAAGAGGAAGAGATGAAGAAAGAAATTAAAGGAGGAGGGGGGGAAGGTAAATAAAAGTTGAAGAGAGAAGGAAGGGAAGGAGAAGGGAGAGAGATAATTGTCGCTCTCACGGGATATCCTCTCCCCCCTGTCCCCCCCCCTCCCCCCCCCCCCCCCCCCTTCCTCCCCTTATCTCCCTATTTCCCCCAGGCGAGGGCGAGAAGAAACGCTGTACACAGCTTGATGTGACAGCACAACAAACAACAAACAAACAAACACAACAGACCATCCTAACACTCTTCCCCATCCACCCTTTCCCCCTCCCCCCCATATTTGCCCAATCTCCCTTATTTCCTTGTTTTAACCCCAGGGCGAGGACGAGAACCGCGTGCAGATGTGTATGATCAACCACGAAGGAAAAGACATACAGCAACACAAACAAACAAACAAAACACATAAACCGCCCCAACAAACTATCCAAATACTCTCCCCTTTCCCCTTTTCTACCCCTCCTCCCTTTCCCCTACTGATCCCCTTTTTCAACCCCTCCCCCTTCCCCTTCCATATCTCACTAATCTCCCTTCCCCTTACCCCATGATCTCCCTTTTTCAACCCCTCCCTCTC